TAGTAAGGTCTTGATCAGGTGCAGTTACTGGTTCAGGTTCAGACGAGGACAGCCTGTTCTCATGGGTATTCACTCTCTCGGTGGTTACCGTGATTTCAGCGGTAGTTATATCCACTGGGTCAGATATTGACAGCCCCTTTTCATGACTGGCCAATATCAGAGTGGTCGCCGGGATATCATCGGTGGTTGTATCCACTGGGTCAGATATTGACTGCCCCTTTTCATGACTGGTCAACATCAGAGTGGTAGCCGTGATTTTATCTAAACCAATAACTTGCTGAATGCCTTCAGTACTTGTCGGCACACAACTCTCAACTCGTAAGCTATCAGCACGTTTTGACGTTTGTGCTGGTTCTGCTAGGTTAGAGTCGACTTCAGGGACTGAGCCAAAGCTAGTGGCAGCCTTAGTCTGAGACTGACAAAACTCACTACCTACTCTATCAGACAACAAACTATCTTCATCTCTATACCGATCCTCGGAAACTACTACACTAGCCTGAGAGAAAACAGAGACAGATTCTGGAAAGTCAAACAACCCACTAAGCTGCGCCTCCTCCCATAGCCTAAGTAAATCCCGTTCCCTCCTGATCTCTAATAGTTTAACTTCATGCCCGAACAGTTTCTCTAAACTTTTAATGTCAATTTCCTTCCAAGATTCTGACATGAATATATCCCTCCTGATCTCTAACAACTTATCCTCTTTTTCTCTCTCGATCTCTAACAACTTAGCTTGATACTTCCTCTCAATTTCTTCAACCCTAACACGTCCGATCTCATAATATTCTATCGAGTCTAGACACTCCTCCTCTAATCTACCTGTATTCACTAACTCAACACAAATATGATCTCGTAAAACTCTATCTCTATCCGAGACATCAACCTCTAGTCCTAGCTCCTCAACTAGACGCAACAACTCTACGCGACAAAACCTGTCTAAAACTTCTAGAGTTGGACACTCAATAAAACTCATTACGTCCATGATTCACACTTACGGAACTTATCCAGCTAAATGGTGGCGGTTAACTACTAAAAATGTGGCTTACAACAAACAACTTTAACTTAAACATTAAAAGTAGGGCTATCACCTTTGACACTTGAAACAGGTAGACACCAGCTATACTGGGCCAACCAAACTAAGATATCCAGCTACACTGGATCACAAACGATTTACTCACGTATACTGGGAATTGACCCTCCAGCTATACTGAGCAAACCAAAAAAATTACGAATTTATTCACGTACCTGGGAATGACCCTCCAGCTGTACTGAATAAACCCGAACACTCCAGTTCCACTGGACCACACAAAAAGATTCGAGTATACTGGGCATTAATCCCTCCAGCTATACTGAATCAACAAAAAAAATTCCAGCTCTACTGGACCAACATAAAAATCAAGCAAAATAAACTCAGTGTCAATACAAAGGTGATAAGCTCGCTACTTACTCAATGTTTGGAAAACTCTCCTGATTTCGTGAACAACTTTATTCTCACTACTCATAAAACTTAAAATCAAACACTAGCTCGTGAGCCCCCAACTGAACATGGCATCAAAAGAAACTATTCAACTCGTTGTCTGTCCTATCCCGGACGGGCCCCCAATTGTTACGACCCCCTTCTCTAATCCTTTCGAACTAGTCAGGGGAATCGTAAACAAGAAGAAGAAAAATAAAAATAAATAAAAGCCAACTTCAGTAATCTCTATTTATTCGCCACAAATCACAACACTTAAAGTTAACCCGCCACCGAAGTACAACAATCAGGAATATACACAAGTAACTACAACAACTAAAGTTCTTAGTACGACTACCCTACTTGTCCCTAACTGTCAAGCCTAGCCTAGGTCTAGTACATGTCGTGGCTTTCCACTAGCTCACAGAGACGACCCATTTCTGTCTCCTCTAAACCTAGCTATCCCCGAGACAAGTCCGTCCGTCTCCGTGTGTGTGTCCCCAGTGTCTGTCGAGAGTGTGTCTTAGTCTCCGGTCTACCCTCCTAAAGTACTCGTCCCCCGCCCTACACCGTGGGAACGATTTTAATTAAGGCCTGACCCTAGGTCATATCCGTCCATGACGGTCCCCTCGGCCCCCTCCGACCTGGAAGGTTTTCCCAGCCGTAAAACACGGACCGTCACTAGCCTAGATCAAGCATCGACGGTCAGCCCGTGGTGTCACCAGGTAATTTATGGGCTGTTGGCCACGTTAATAGCCGAGTCCCCCAAGACTTCCATTCTACCACGCCCCACAGCGTGAAATCTAATCCGTGGTGTGGCCGTCAAGACCCCCAGACTCTCACGGCCTATGCTGGCCAGTGCATTAACATGCCTAAGCATTTCATTTTAATTACCTGGCCCTCCTCGATGGGACCAAACCCAGGTAAAGATCACTTGGGTTCGTAACAATATATATATATATATATATATATATATATATATATATATATATATATATATATATATATATATATATATATATATATATATATATATATATATATATATATATATATATATACATATATATAAATGAGAAAAAAGTCCCACCCTATCACTACTCGCGCCACGCCCACCCTCGATGTAAGCCAAGCTCATGCACACCCACCCCTCAGCTCGTCAAGTTACAGAGCGATGGTCACTCTGTTGATGCACTTGCGTTGCTATCACGTGACTCGATGATGCATGTAATCCACACTGCCCTGTTTCAACCCTAAACTGTTTGTTAATCAAAGTGTGTCTCGTCTTTTAACGTGGCGGCGAGATAAAATCAAATCAAACGGCGCGTATTAGCTTACCTGTTCAATCTCCGTTTTTAACACATCTATTTGAAACTGCGGAGTCTGGGGCGACTAGTGTTTTTAAGTTGGATCGTGACAAGTTAAAAAAAACAATAAACTCATCTCACATGCAACGAGATAGGCAGAGAAGATCTAATGCTGGCATCATTTAAAAATAGTTGTTCACACAAACGGTGACACACACATACGCACACACGCACACAAGCACACACACACACACACATACACGCACAAATACACAAACACAGAGGTTAAGCCTGCAGGAAAACAGGTACCACTTTCAAAACAGAGTCCCAAAATTCTAAGTCTGTAAAACTGTACTGGTTGCGAAGACACGTTTTCATTAAGTGCCAACTAACTGTAGCGGATTCAGGGGGAGGCTTATAAGGCTGCAGCCTGCCCCCCCCCCCCCCCCCCAAATTTCCTGTAAGAAATCATAGTCAATATGATTTTACAAAGTATTTTTTAAACCTATAAAAACCAATGCTTTTTATGTTTGCGTCACAAGGTTTTTTTTCAAATATCAAACACGGACACAAGTATGAATATCAGCTGTAATCACCTCCTACTCAGACATTGTTTATATAAAGCCGACGCTTCCTAAAATAACATTGTCCGGACCAGCGTTTTTATATAACAATCAAATTAGTTGATTTCAGAGTTTAAAATACACAAACAGCAACCGAATTCTAACAAATGGCTCAAACCATACAATTGATAGCACCACCCCCACCCCTTAAAAAATTTATTGAAATGTATTTCATGATTGGTAAAAAAAAAAATAATTGTTAAGCATATTGTCTACATTCTGAGTTAGCTCTCACTCGCAAGCACTCAGACTAGCACTATTATAGACGACCCCTAGCAATTAATTAAAAATGTCTGAGCGTTTTTGCTAACCAGCTAGGTATGGAAATATGCTTTACATATCTGTCATTAGAAGTGAAGTTTCAGATAGTTATATTATTTAGGTATAGGGTATCTAGATCTAGTTATTTTGGATTAAAACTCCCTAGATGTATTATTTGAGATATTGGCCTTTCTTTGTTGCCTCTTCGAGCCTGACGATCACAGGACAGACAGTGGCGGATTAAGAGGGGGGGGGGGGCACATTTTTAGAGGTTTTCAAATTTGCTCTTTAGGAAGTTTAACTTCCCCAAAGACTTAAGTTTTATATAAATTAAGTGACCGTTTGAATGTTTAAATAACAAGCACACACAAACACACACAATATATATATATATATATATATATATATATATATATATATATATATATATATATATATATATATATATATATATATATATATATATATATATATATATATATATATATATATATATATATATATATATATATATATATATATATATATATATATATGTTTGTATGTGTGTGTGTGTGTGTAGAGACCCACACAACATTTTCAGCTGGGGGCAGGGCTCAAACTTAATCTATCTCTGCACCAAACTAAGCCGAAGCACGGGTCTGCGACGTAAAACGTATGCTACATCTATATTTTAATGCCTTACAGTATACAGAGCAGATGAGGCTCATTAGCTGGGGACAGCAACCTATTTTAGAAAGGAAACCCCGAAAATCAAACAGGAGTGGCAAAACTTTGGCAATACGATTAACAACTTTTAATTTCTGTGGGCAGATGCTGCATCCAAAGCTGTTACCAAGCGTAATACTTATAATTCCTGCGGATTATATCATATACAATCTAGAGAGAGATCGTTATGCATGGGCAACCCGTAATCTCTTCAACTAATGCCATGAAAGCGCCCTGGTGATTTCCCTTCCGTGGGTGCGTTCATTCTTTACCGAGACAAACATGATTCATATTTTATTTTTTCAAAATTTTTACATAATTCTCACTTCAGCAAATAAAGACGAATGATGCTTTATACATAAATTTAATACTTTATTTATATGTTCTATTTGTTGTTACCCATTTGTAACTCAGATATAAATTTCACATTACTCATACTGCACAAATAATAAATAACTCATTTATTACACTATAGAATTAAAGCGACTTTAATTAAATATATTAATTCAAGGATAATTAGGATGTTATTTCATGGCTGTTGTAATATCGTTTATTGTTCAAAGCAAAATAAGTTTTAATATAAATTTAGCATTCAAAAATCTGGTTGATTTTATAGATATTTTTTTTAAATAAACGCCTTTCTTTAATAGTTTGTAGTACACAGGAATGATTTTTGTATTTTTTTCTTCTTGGGAGCTCCTAAAGTTTAAGCTGAGCAGGTGCAACCAACCGTGACCTCGTACTCTGTGAAGTGCCAGCTGCGCCTGAGGGAGTAGGGCACCCTGTCGTCACTACAGGGGGGCGTGAAGCACAGCCGCAGCAACATCGTGGTGAAGGTCACCGGCGTGCAGTTGAAGTGGCCGAACCAGCAGGTGCCCTCGCACACCGTTCGCTGGATCCAGCTGGGGTAGATGTTGCTCTGAAGATGAACCCATTCCTTTCTCTGGTTGCAGGTCCAAGGCAGAGGCCGAGTGTGGTCAATTGTCCAGGAACTGTTTGAACAAATTGATGAGCGGATTCTTTTATCTCTTGTGGAGTGTGGTTCGCCGATTTCGTTTCTTTCTTTGAAGTTTTGGTGGTCTAAAATTGAATTTTCGTCTAAACTATGAGCATCGTCTTGAAAATTTGGGTAGAAAGAACGTGAATCGAACATTTCATTGTTGGAGTTTGGACGAAACTGTTGGGGGTCGGCTTGTTCAGCATCAGGTTTCTCCATATCTACGCCGCTTCGTTGAGAGTATGTTGTGTTGTTTGGCTTCCGCGAGTTCATATACAAGTTGCAAAGGTTATTTTTGGAGTAGCCTTGACCTTGTTTGTCGTACTGTCCAGGGGAGCAGGCGAGGACGTCCAGAATGTTTTTGGAGAGTGGTGTGTCCGGTCTTGGTCGGTTGGCGACGCTATTAGTGTCCATACTCCAGGAATGATTGAGAAAAAAGAAGACCAAAGCGCTGGCAACTTGCGTGAAGAGGAGGGAACTCATTTTCTTCGCCATTGTGTCTGTGGAAGGAAAATCGTTAAATTATTTCACAACAGAAAACTAACAAGCAAGTATTTTATTTCAAGAATGTTGGTGCTATTTTTATTATAATTAATGGAAAACGATGAGTGATCTAATTAATAAAAATTAATTAAACTTTTTTAAAAGTTTGTAAGCACTGTACGTAAATTAAAATACACAACTGAATAAGTAGTTACATCAACATATTTGTTTTTCTGAAATGTGTTGGAAAAATAAAACGTTAAACAAATTTTGTACGAACAACAGCTAAAAACTATAATACACTTTAACGTTTTAAATTCTAAATTTAAAATTTTTTTTTAATTATATTGGAAGTTAATACATTTTCATAAAATAAAATTCATTTAGCTAAAATATTTCTATATTTACACTCATTTTTTTTCAAACCCAATCAGATATTTCAATTTCTATTAAAAAGCTTGAAGAATATCTTTATCTGGCGGAGATACCTAAAAGCTAATTAAAAAAACGATAAATTCAAATTTGAAATTAAATAGTGTAAAACAATAGCTGAAGAAAAATAAGCAATTATGGGCACATATTATGTCTAGACAAGTAAAATATGAGAGAGAAATTAATTGTCAAAAGGATTGTCTGCACTTTCAACTCAATATTTATGAGATTTTCTAATTTGTTTTAGACGCATCCTAAGTTCAACACAATTAGAACAACAAATCTATTTAAATGAAAAAAATAAACGAAATTTACAAAATTACACGTAATAATATTTTACAGTTGAGAAATTTTTCTTTATGTCTAGAATTTTATTTTTAAATTTTTTTTTTAATATTCTTCTTTGATTTACTCGATGGATTATTTTTTTGTCTACAAATTTGTCCAAATAAGTTATTAAAAATCAAATTCACAATAGTAAGATATTCTATATAAGAACTCTACAGGATTTCAACCAATGCTGGTCGTTGTTATAGTAAACATTGATCAACGCATAATTTGTAAAATTCTCCAGTAGTTATACAGAGGTCATTAGGTCAGTGATTATGAGGTCATGTCTGAGAAGTAATTAACTTGATGTCAAGCCTGACCAATAGCTAACGTGATGCATGCATGACAAGTAGCTAATACTTAAAATAGTTTTTCTCTTTGGGAACTTAAAATACAGCCTGGGTTAGGTCTATGAATTACAAAGAAATAAATCGCAGAATTTACCCAATACGGTTACCATACTGTTATTTTGTTAAATATAAAAAAAACGTGTTCTGCTAATATAGTTTCAAAAACATGACATACAACATAACGTAAGTGACAAAGCTAAATTTAAAATAAACCGGGAGTGATCTCTCTTAAACTTTCTCGAATATTCTAATATAACACTACGTGATATGGCAACTCGGAATATAGACATGATTTTTGTTTACTTAAAATTTTAAAAATAGAATAAAATCTAGTATAAAAAAGAATTGCGCACCAAGCGAACGCCAAAACAAAATGTGTATAATAGTGCGCAATATTATTAGCACTTTATAAATTTACATGCGTTTTTTTGAGAAATAGGAAATAGAGTAAATTAGTACTTCCGGTCAAAGGAAATTACTCAAAATTTAACAGAAGGTAGAGAATTAGATCTTTTACTTACACGTGAAATTTCATTTATCTATCTGAAATAGTACTCAAGTTATAGGTTTTTGAAAAATTCAAAGGAGAAAAAGTACCACTTCCGGTTATCGGAAATCGCTCAAAAGTTGATACGGATCTACGATTTTGATAAAATACTTATATATGAAATTTCATCAACCTAGCTATAACGGTACTCAAGTTATCGTGTTTACACACAGACAGACAGACAGACAGAGACATACACACACAGACAGACACACAGACATACGGACAAGATTGCAAAATTATGTTTTTCCGTGTCAGTGAGGTGTAAAACGTCGAGATTTGTAAAAATCTCGATTTTTTTTTTGCACTATTACAAGACTTTCTCTATACTTCGGATATATTTATCTCTGAGAAGAGTCGACCCTTTTTAGTATTCATCTACCCGAGCCTGGTTGGTATAGCACTAACTAAAACTTTATACTGTACATCTACTGAGGCTAGCAGTCTAAAACTTAGCTTTGGTTTTCTGGCTATTCCAGTGTCACCATTTTTTCACAGTTTATCATCGCTGTTAGAACATTTTTATTGCGGCACGGTGTCGCGTTACCTTTATGTGCAGCTCTACGGTTTTCATTGAGTTTCTTCACCTCTAATGAGAGATAGGGAACGTGAGACGATACGTCAGAGTGTTATATTTAGATTTGGTTACACAGAGAAAAATAACATTTTAGTAATCACATTAAGCTGGGGAGTTCACTGAAAATGTTATTCAGTTTCGAGTTACATTTAAAAAAAATTTAAAAAATAAAATAAAACCACAATCTATGTTAAAACTAACGAATACCTTAATTAATTTTTTTTTAATTATTTGAAAAAAAATCTGAAATAGTATACCTTTGAAGAATATACATTTACAAATGTTGCTGAAGCACTTATTTGAAATCACGAAAATAGACTGGGGGAAATATTTAATCCGTCGTAATTACGGGGATTTATCAAAAGTCTAAAAACAGTATAATATAACTCACTAGTTTTGACGTTTCAAAAATAGTACGAATGAAAGAATACATTTCCACGGGTTCATAAATCAGATTTTATTTGTGGAATAACCCAGACGTTGGTTGACATATAGGTCACGTGGGTAGTCTTTTAACAGTGTCCGCCCCCCGGAAATTTTAGTCTGCCCCCCCCCCCCCCCCCCCCGGAAAATTTCAAGTGCCCCCCCCCCCCGGAGAAAAAAGTCTGGAACACTGGTCTCTGATAAGTTCTTGGAGACTACAACGAGTTTTGATATAGCTGGTAGGATTAGGGCTAGAGCTCAATACTGTTAACCCTGAAAGCTGGACTTCTGCTCCAAATGTCGACTCAGCTCTAATGAGTACCTGACTCATTCACACAACTCAAATGGTTAACTGATCCGTTAAGTGTAGCAAAGATGGCACTGACAAAAAAAAAAAACAATCCGTATATAAGTCGTGGTCTCTGAAAAAGAAATACTCTACTTCATCTGCCATGTTGACCTTCAGGTCCGAAAAGGTAATTTTCAAAAAGAATTTTCAAGGAGAATGGAGTCTTTTAGCGTCGTTTGTTAAACTGTTGTTAAATCACATCAAAGTTGTGATTAAAGAAATCTGAGACTACATGTTTATTTCATTTAGCTGATTTTTATACTTGATAGTCGTCAGTTAATTAATTTTTATTTGAAAAAAAATATTAACAGAAAATATTAAATTCTGATAAAATACTTAAAAAAAAATTGAAATACAATATATTTACTGCAATGGTTCTCATCATGAGTGATGTTGGAGTTTTTAGCAGTTATAGCCGTTTTATATTACAATTTACTGTATCAATCTGAACTTGAACGTTTTTTTATAACCACTTATTTTACTGACTGATTACTTTAATAAGTTGTCTACAATGTCCAGCTTTTCTCCAATATTTTTACCAAACATCAGCATTGTTTTATCAATGGTAGATATGCATGTTTCGTTTGATAGTCTTCAAGACTATGACTGAGGCGTAGCGAAGGGGTGGTGGGGGGAGGGGGGCAGGTGGGTACCCTAGGGGCGCCAAATGGGTTTTAAAAAAATAATTAAAACCTCATTTAAGCTGCAGTTTTAAATTATAAAAATAAAAAATATATGGGGGGGGGAATTGAAAGTTTGTCCCCGGGCGCCGGGTATATAGTAAATAGAGCTGAGTACTTAGTTATACCTTAAATCATATTCATACTTTGTGTCCAAAAAGAACTATGAAATGCTTCTAAGTTATACCAATGTGACCTAAATATATTTTCTTCTAAATCTCGTCTACCATTTAGCCATCGGTTTAATATTTGTCTATTTTATTAATGTGTTAGCCGGAGACGGAAATTTCTTTGCGTTAAATAGTTGGGTTTGGGAGCCAGTTTTCTATATTTAGATTATGCTGTCTTTTACTAAAGATACATGTTGATTATAATTTTAGTTTTAATTGTCTGCAGTTGGTTTCTATTGTTTAATTCTTTACCAACAAATTAATGGTTTTATGACTGCATGATGCCAAGCTGTGGCTTAGGAGAAATTGCAGGGCTGCATTGCAGTGGCGTAGCGTGGTCGGGTGTCGCCCGGTGCGGCACTTAATGGTGTCACCCCCAGAGGCGTAGAGACTCTTCTCGGGACAAACTTTCAAATTTTCAATTTGCACCCCCCTCAAACTTTCGATTTCCACCCCCCCCCCTTAAACTTTCAATTTGCACCCCCCCCCCCCCTCAAACTTTCGATTTCCACCTCCCCTCAAACTTTCGATTTGCACCCCCCCCCTCCCTCAAACTTTCGATTTGCCCCCCTCAAATACTTTGATTTGCACCCCCTCAAACTTTCGATTTGCACCCCCCCCCCCTCAATTTTTTCTCTATATATTTTGCTATTTTTTGCCTTGGTGTCACCCCCCTAAATGATGTCACCCGGTGCGGTCCGCACCCCCGCCCCCCCCCCCCCCCCTCGCTACGCCTCTGCTGCATTGTAATTCTGAAATTCATCTTCTTTGATTCCCAGACCCCCCTAAATTTTTATCCACACAAAAATTGTACCTACGTTAGGGTTACTTAATTAGCCTACATATACATAATTATAGAAATACATTTTCTGTTCGTCAAACCCTCGGATAAAAACAAGTTTGTTGTTAAAGATTTTCACATTTTAGAGAGATGTGGCATTTTTTCACGTCTTCAAATAAATCGATACGCAGATTAACTACAATAATTTTAGGGTGCCATTTTTGGTTTAAACTACTTTTTTTTTGCCCGAATGGCCGGCGATTTGTCAAGTTCAACCAAGTGCTGACGACCGTGATTTTTTTAAATAATAGAAAACCGCAGAATGGAATACCAGAAACTCTACATCTACTCATTAAATATTTTGTTAAAACGTTAACAGTCAAGTAGGGGGGGGGGAGAATGAGTATAGTATTGTCGAGCACAGTCAACAGTAGTTGAACGTATAGTCAGTGATGTTGAAGCATCTTAGGTTCACCGTTTAAAATAGCAGCTCCAATATTCTAACGGTCACCTAATTATGTATATGTTGAAAGAAACATGACATGAAAATACCGTCCACCTAACTGAAACGGTGCTCAAGCTATCGGCTTTTGAAGAGTAGAGCAAGTATCACGACAAGTGAGAGGTTATATTTTTGTATGAGACCTAATTGCAACGTTACTTAAGCTTTATTTTCACGGACAAGATTTTTTCGACTTTGAAAAGTGTAAAGCGTCATCTATTTTTCACACGATAACAAGACTTTGTCTATGCTCCTATAGGAGGATGTTGCTACGGTTTCACTAAAAATAATAGAATACAGTGACATTAAAAATACAGGACAACACGAATTCCAAGTCGACTTTAGACAGTTCCATAATCGTTATGATTCAGAAAACTTGCTATTAGCTGCCCAAAAGTACTAGTCATTAAAACAGCTGATCAAACTGTCATAAAACCAGCGAACAGCAATAGCAAACAGTCGGAGAATGCACAAGTCTGCATGAACTGACATTACAAATGGCTAAAGTAAGTGAAACTCAAAATGGCCATCGTTGTTGGGGGTTGTGATTTGGTACACTAGGTGTAGCAAGATCAGGGAGAGCTACATTTTCATGTATATATATATATATATATATATATATATATATATATATATATATATATATATATATATATATATATATATGTATATATATATATATATATACATATATATAAATATATATATATATATATATATATATATATGTATATATATATACACACACACACATATATATATATATATATATATATATATATATATATATATATATATATATATATATATATATATATATATATATATATATATATATATACTACCCCCAAGGCCGATAGGAATAAACATCAAAATCTGTTTCATAAACCATGCTCTGATTAAACCTTTTCAATTTGTTATATTCACTTTACTTTCAGAAAAAAATTCAAGAATAATATCTCTAGGTCAGTAAACAATTTTGAATCAATAAACTCGAGGGTCTCATGTTTAAAATAATGATTGTATGAAATCCAATAACTTACATCCACTAGGACTTTTTACAGCATTAAAATAAAAATTTCTACATTCCATTTGTCGTTTTCGTTAGCTTTATAATAATGTATTGCAAATCGAATATAAGTATTGTAACGTTTTTAGGAAAGTAAATTTGTTTTATTTTTAATTTTTTAAAATGATCGCTGGCTAGACTCTCCACAAACAAGATATCAATGTGAGAAATTTATTTTTCTAACTAGCCTTGTTGTCAGGTTTAGTCTAGTTCTAACCAGTTTGTTGTCAGGTTTAGTCTGGTTCTAACCAGTTTTTTTCAGGTTTAGTCTGGTTCTAACTAGTTTGTTGCCAGGTTTAGTACAGCTCTAACTAGTTTGTTGTCAGATTTAGTCGAGTTCTAACCAGTTTGTTGTCAGGTTTAAGCTAGTTCTAACCAGTTTGTTGTCAGATTTAGTCGAGTTCTAACCAGTTTGTTGTCAGGTTTAGTCTAGTTCTAACCAGTTTGTTGTCAGGTTTAGTCTAGCTCTAACCAGTTTTTGGTCAGGTTTAGTCTAGTTCTGACCAGTTTGTTGTTAGGTTGAGGCTAGGTCTTAAAATTCAGATATTAGCTTTGGACAGGTTCTAACCAGCCACAGCCAATTTTCAGGTTCATACATGTAAAAAGTTCTGATCTTCAGTTACTTCAGTTACTTCCCATGTATTAAAGTCACTTTACCTAAGGGAAACAACCAACAAGTATGTTTAAATCGTCAGGAAATTCAATAGAGATAAAACTGAAATGCAAATCATTATTCATTATCTGACAAAACTTTGTTATTAATTTTTTTATATGATCTTTACCTGGGCTATGTCTTTACATGGGGTAGTGTCTCTAGGTCTTTACCTGGGCTAGTGTCAGTAGGTCTTTACCTGTACTTAGCACTAGGTCGTAACCTGATGTTGATGGTACTGCGACGTTACCTGGGCTAGTGTCAGTAGGTCTTTGCCTTGTGTCTCTAGGTGTTTACCTTGACTCAACGAGTCAATAGGTTAATACCTTAGCTAATTTCACCAGTTGCTACCAGGACTTGTGTCACCAGTTGTTACCTGGGCCAATATCACCTATTGTTACCTGGGCTAGCCAGTGTCTACTGGAAAAGTGTCACAATTTGCTAACTGGACCAGTGTCACCATTTGCTAACTTGACAACTTCACCAGTTGTTACCTGGGCAATGTCCCAAGTTTCTACCTGGGCTAATGTCACCAGTCGTTTTGTGGGCTAGTGTCACCAGTTGCTATCTTAGCTATTGTCACCAATTCCTACGTGGGCTTGTGTCACCATTTGTTACCTGGGGCAAGTAACACTTGGCTAGATAGTGGAACAGACGGAAAAATTTCCCCTTTGTGACGACCCATGACCTTAGAGCAATCAACTTGGTCGATTCATAAAACCTGGTGGAATCAAGCAGGTCATAGCAGACGGCAACAAGAGAGGTGCTCTATCTGCTAGCTGTCTGCCTAGTATTAGAACTTAGCTGAATGAGAGTCAGTAAAGGTTTGGTCTGTCATGATTTGCATCTAACCTGATTTGGTAAGTTTTGTATTCAGTCAATACATCGTTTAAGTTAAAGCCAATTTCCAAGAGGGTAACGTTATTGTTAGTCATACATAAACATTGCACAGCATATCTACAACAGCTCGTCACAAACACATTATGCAACCACAATATACCTGCACTAAACGATAAAGATTACATTTAGCCCACACAATGCCCTATTGAGCCTGTGCTACCAAATAATAAAAATGTCAAATCATACAATATTGCAAACATAATCAAGACGAATATGTAATTCGTAACCAAATAGCTACAAACATAAAGGTGCATATAGTTATGTTTGTGTAGATGAATCCTGCATATAAAGGTAAAAACAGACTATATCAAATTAATTTAAAATAAAAACCCAATAAAGACATACAACTAGACATGCGGTATTTAGTTCAGCACATTAAATTTAAAACGAAATACAAAATTTAATCTAGTTACCAGAAACCACCGAACACAAATGCAAAAAGCGACGTGGAGCTGGCACAAAGATACTCACAGTTCGACTGGAGGAAGTGATTGCTGCTCAATGTGAAAGTTGTTCCATCACATTTTTATACTATTGCTGGGGATAATTCGTCACCGCAGACAAAGCGGTTTGGCGGTTCTTGTGCCATCTGAGACAAGGGAAGGTGACGAGGTTCGCGTGGGAGTGTCTTCTAAGAAGGTTGTGGGGTGGGGAGGGTTGTCTTTGTGTGGTCTAAGGTAAATACTGGGGTGGGGAGGGTTGTCTTGGTGTGGTCTAAGTTAAATACTGGGGTGGGGAGGGTTGTCTTTGTGTGGTCTAAGGTAAATACTGGGGTGGGGGAGGTTGTCTTTGTGTGGTCTAAGTTAAATACTGGGGTGGGGAAGGGTTGTCTTATGGTCTCAGCTAAACAAATAGGGGAGGGGGGTTGTCTTATGGTCTCAGCTAAACACATAGGGATGGGGTGTGGAGAGGTTGTCTTATGGTCTCAGCTAAACAAATAGGGGAGGGGGAGGTTGTCTTATGGTCTCAGCTAAACCAAAAGTGGTGGGGTGGAGAGAGGTTGTCTTGTGGTCTCAGCTAAACAAATAGGGGAGGGGGAGGTTGTCTTATGGTCTCAGCTAAACACATAGGGATGGGTTGGAGAGAGGTTGTCTTGTGGTCTCAGCTAAATAAATAGGGGAGGGGGAGGTTGTCTTATAATCTCAGCTAAACACATAGGGGTGTGGAGAGGTTGTCTTATTATCTCAGCTATACACATCGGGGTGGGGCGGGAGTGGGAAGTTGTCTAGTGGTCTCAGGTAAACGAACAGGGGTTGTGGGGAGGTTGTCTTTGTGGGGTATCAGCTAAACTTATGTGGGTGGGGCCAGACAGCTGTCAGACACTTATCAACTAGACAAAATACAGGGAAGAGGGTGGGGAAGCTTTTTTGTCTTGTCTTACATTTAGTTAAAATACTTTTGTAACACAATCGCTGACTTAGCAAATTAAAGAACTAATTTATGTGTAACGATTAGCACTGCCTTTTTATGTACCTTGGTAACATTTAAAGCTTTCTAAAACTGTGTATTGTGTCCTTGAAGTTAATTATAGTAAAACGACTATTCATAGCTTATGTTTTAACCTATTTAAAAGAGTACTAACAACCCGATCTATTTTATGTGAATCTACTTAAAAGGGTGCTAGCTATCCGCTTTGTTTTATATTAACGCAATATTGTATGGATTATCAGTAATAACTTCTTGATTTGTTACCGAACTTCACTATTATATATCAAAATGGATTAAATGTGAGTTTATTTTTCGCCTCGTATCTAAACAATAACCTATCAATAAGGGTCAAATAACAACTACGACAGCACCACTAAAAAGAACAACAACAATAACAAAAAAAACAGCAATCACACAACATTTCACGTGAACTCTAATAATATATATTCATATATTGTAAAGTTTAAGGTATATTTTATAGGTTACAGCTTCCTTTGTATATTCTCTTCTTCTTCATCTTCGTTCTAAGCTGCGATGCTGCGAATGATATTCCCCAACACTATTACCCATAACGTGTCAACTTGTTATGAGCATATGAGCCGTTGACTACGATTTCAACCTTCTCTTCTTTTTGGATTTGCTTCAATAGACTTTGTCTATTCAAGAACAAACTAAAAGGCAGCAGTTATTTGATTTTAGAGTAGTCTCTCCTAGATGGGTTGCTGTCCCCAGCTATCGAGCTTCATCTGCCCGATTTGGCATCAGCTTTACCACCCTGACCACGCTGACCTACCCTTTGTATTTTGAAACTAAATGTTTTAACAAAATGTGCACTCATTGCTTAACAGAAATTTGCTTTTAAAACAATGCATTTTTCTGAAATCGGGACGTTTCGGTTTACCCTATTTACTTAAACGTTTCAAGGAATTTGCAGTTATTTCTTACCATATATTTACGATTTAAACAATGCATATAGATCTAGCAACGTCCCAACCTTAAAATACAAATCTTTTAAAAAGAAAAATTGGTTAAAATTCTGAGTCTCAATAATTTTCTCAATCAACACTCCAAATAAATCTTGGGTAACGAAAAAACCAACATCGTTTTATTGCAGTAATTAACGTATTCTGTCAGCACACGCTAATGCTCCCCTCCCCCACCCCGCTCATAAATTACAACACAAGTTAAAACAAGTGCAGAAAAGGACGCATAGTTCGAACTGGATTCACTAGTTCCCTTATAAACATTCTTTGTTTTCATACTTGATACAATGATCCTCGACATGAATACAAATATACGCTTTTTTTCTTGTTTATGTCATCGTAGCTGTATGCCAAATATCGAATTGTTGATTTCAACATTAATTGAAATAAAATTATTATGATTGACAATTTGTTTTTATAAAGCAGAAGCTTTTTGTCCTTAACATTAATTATTAGACCGTCGATTTTTTCTTAATCCCCCACCTCCTCCCCACTTCACACACATTCCCAAAAGAACAAGATCTTGCAAGGACAAACAGACAAGATTATTAGAGTTAATCTGGAAAGGTCATCAAGGATTTGTCGACTTTGTGATCAAATAATGATGATTTTAGTAAGTTTATTTTTTTTTCATCTAAGGAGTTTGAGAAACCTAAAAATTAAGTTAAAAAATAGATATTCCATTTCTTAAACTGAAAACAGTGAATATGTTATCGGTGATAGCTTCCACAACTAGAGGCCACTGGTAGCCAATGGGGGTTGAAAGTGAGTGTGTGTGTGTAGGGGGAGGTATCTCTACACTAACACCACACTGTTCTACACTACGATTGCCTAATTAGGTACTAAACTAATTACTCTTCAGTTAATAGATCAGAAATCTTACTTAATTATAGACGAATGAAATATAGATATTTTTTTAAAATATTAAAAAAAATATCATGTAACACAGAAATGAAACACACACCCAAGACATAGTAAATTTGTCTTTTTTTCCCCATATATATTGACATTATTAGAAATAAACCGGGAGTGATCTCCCCTAAACTTTCTCGAATTTTCTTATATGAAACAACAGGGGATGGCAACTTGGGATATAGACATGATTTTTAATCCATTTTAAATACTTAAACTTTTTAAAATAGAAATTTCGTAGAAAAAAAGAAATATGCACACCAAGTGAACGCCAAATAAAATGTGCATAATAGTGCGTTTTTTGAGAAATCAGAAATAGCGGAAATTACTACTTTCGGTAAACGGAAATTACTCAGAATTTGACAGAAGGAAGAGAATTAGATCTTTTGCTTACATGTGAAATTTCATTATCGGTCTTTAATGGTACTCAAGTTATAGACTATTGAAAATTTCAAAGTAGAAAAAGTTCCACTTCCGGATATCGGAAATCGCTCAAAAGTGGGTACGGATCTAAGATTTTGATATAATACTTATATATGAAATTTCATCAACCTAGCTGTAACGGTACTCAAGTTATCGTGTTTACACACACACACACACACACACACACACACACACACACACACACACACACACACACACACACACACACACACACACACACACACACACACACACACACACACACACACACACACACACACACACACACACACACACACACACACACACACACACACACACACACACACACACACACACACACACACACACACACACACACACACACACACACACACACACACACACACACACACACACACACACACACACACACACACACACACACACACACACACACACACACACACACACACACACACACACACACACACACACACACACACACACACACACACACACACACACACACACACACACACACACACACACACACACACACACACACACACACACACACACACACACACACACACACACACACACACACACACACACACACACACACACACACACACACACACACACACACACACACACACACACACAGACACACTTACACAGACAGACATACGGACAAGATTGCAAAACATGTTTTTCCGACTCAGGGAGCTGTAAAACGTCGAGATTTGCAAAAATCTCGATTTATTTTTTGCACGATTACAAGACTTTCTCTATACTTCGTATATACAAGAAAGTAAAAAAGTAGTTTTTCAATTTTTATACTACAAAACGTTTTAAACAACTTTTCCTAAATATTTGACATCGAATGCATATTTAAAAGAACAACTAACACCGTTTCAACAAAGCATTCTGTCGTTGTTATTTGTGTTTTACTTAACAAAGGATACAAGGGGACGAAACTAGCTTTAGTAAACATGGATATATTTTATCGCTTAGCTCTCTTTATCATCCCATTCTAAACAATCTTAGTAATTTAAACTTTTAAAATCAGAATATCTTCCCATCTATAGCTAGACTTTATCCCACACACCTACACTAGACTTAATCCCACATACCTGTATTAGACTTAATCCCACATACCTGTAGTAGACTTAATCCCACACACCTGTACTAGACTTAATCCCACATACCTGTACTAGACTTAATCCCACACACATGTACTAAACTTAATCCCACATACCTGTACTAGACTTAATCCCACATACCTGTACTGGACTGTAATTTCAACTTTTGACTGTCTTCCTTTATCAGGTAATGGTACTTTACATTTTTCTGGTTTCTAAAATACCGGTTACATGAATACCGTTTCAGAGTGGTAGACGAAATTTCTTACATATTGCTGTAAGATCTTATTCTTTTGATTCTTTCAAACTTTGAGTGATTTTCCGTGACAGGAAAAAGTAATTTACGTTAGTACCGATTTCTCAAAAACCATTACAATTTATTTATCTTGAGTCCCCTGTCTATCGTTCGTCATGGGCGGAAACAAGCGAACGAAATTTAGACGACCTACCGGACAGATTTCTTTCAATCTTCTCACGACAACAATTCATTGTGACACAAAATGTGACGTAAATAGATGTTAATTAACTTTTAAAAAATTAATCAATGTTCCTTTGTAACGTACTAATTATCCTCTCTATTATACACACATCGCTTGCTTTCATTTAGTGTCAATTTCTTTTTCATCGCGAC